ATCAACTTGGACTATTTCATTTCATGGGTTCTTCCCTGGCCTGTTCCTCATCCCTCCACCAAGTTCAGTGCAAATTGGTTCAGTACTTTTTGAGTAATCCTGCTGATAAATAAACAGACATGGGTGAAAACATAACCTCCTTGGCAGAGGTAATAAGATCAGTGTGGGGGAGGAATCCAATTACTGACCTGCGGCATGTATGCATGAATTTACAGTGGATGTACACAAATTTGTCCACTTACCAACATAACCTGATTTCTCTGAATAACCTTTTCCTGAGTACATCTTATAAATGTGTCCATAACCACAGCTACATACCCAGGCTAGCAGAGTTTCTCTCTCAGCGACATGGTAGATGAGCTTGAGGGGTCGTGAGGTGCTGTGGATGCGGCTGTGCATATAACGATAAAGGTCGAGCAGTCTCATTTTCTCCCCCTCACTGCTGTACGGGGCCTCCATCTCTGGGCTACATGCGGCAACAAATCGTAGGTTACAGACAGAAAAGTCACATAAGGTTCTTTGATAAAAAAAATATACAGTGATGCAATAATACAAAGACATGAGAACTACAGTGATGAATTTTTAAATCACTGAAACTATTCATTTGTGAATCTGATGGGACAAAAATTACACAGCAAAATGCCAAAACACAGCTTCCAAAATTATTTAAAAGGGAGACTTTTTGCTCTTTGTACCCTTGTTCTGAACAGTGCCAAGTAAACAAATTTGTTATTGCTATTTCAAGTGTAGCGCTATGATTATCTGCATAATTTCACTTTTATTCTCAAGGTTTCGACTGGCTGCTGACTCATGTAATAGGACACCTAATTCTTTCAGTTCAGCTCATTAGGAGATAAGCGAAGTGACACGTCAGGATTAGTGGAATACAATTTGAAATTCTTACAGTTTTTAATTCTCTGTGCCCTTGCAACTGGTAGCCCTATTTCAGAAACCCTTTTAATCTGAGGTACTTAATATAAAACAGGACACATTTGTAAACACCAACCACACTTAGCTTTTTTTTTTAATTTTTTTAGACAGGCTTTCATACTTTCTCAGGTATTTATTTCACTGCCTAACATTAAGTGCAATTTAAAATATTCTACAAAAGCACAAAATAAATAACTTTTTGTTCACTTTTTAAACATAAAGCACCAATGACGCCTCAGAAGTCCCTTCTGTTGTTGCATAGACAATGACAGATACACACAAAGACACACACACACCTGGTGAACTGAGTGAGCTGGCGGTAGTTGTCTGGAACATCAAAGGGCTTGTACATGAAGTGTCTGAGGTCTGAGACGCCCACCTGGCTCACACTGTATGACTGGGCTTTGGCAATGAGGCTCAGGGAGTTCTGAGCCACCATGGCCTCCTCTATCTTCCTCTTGCACTCAGCTACAGCGTAGAAAGCTTCCTTGTCTGTTGAGAGCAGCAGCAAACAAACAGTGCATTCTGGAGGGTCCAGGTAAGAAATGTATGCATAAAAGTAACAGTCAGGATTAAAGAGAGGGAGGCAGATGGGAGTCCAGATCTCCCCAGCCTGAAAGGCAGAGGAGGCTCCGATGAGGTTGAGCAAGAGGTGGACGTCAGCAGGCTCCAGCCGGGTGTCCTCGATGACGGTCTTCTCTTGGACGATGGTGAGCAGCTGGTTCTTGGCAATGAGGATGGAGAAAACTAGATTGGGCGTGATAGCTTTCTGCAGGATCTGGCTGAGAGAGTCCCTGAGAGAGGAGGCTAGGGGTAAGCAGTGTATTGCTGCGAGGAGGAAGCTGGGGTCTGAATCCACCAGGTTGAGGAGGCCGTCCAGGATCTTCTCTGAGCCTGCCAGGAGTCTCCTCAGATCGTAGTTTTTCTTGTGTTCAAAGATGCGGGATATGCTGGCCTGCGTGAGCATGCTGATGATCTGATAGTATACGTAGAGGAGCTCTCCACGTAGCTGCTGCTCAGACTGACGACTGCTGGAGACGCACACGAGCACTAGGGGCCCTTTTTGTAAGAACACCACAGTGTGCTCCTCTGATTGAAGGAAGAAAAAACATCAGCAAAATAAAGATAATACTGAAGGTATCAGTAAATGACAACTAACTACACCCCCCAATACTCAATGTATCTGCACTCAAAAATACTGCACATCTTTCAGACTTGGAAATGAGCATATTGTCCAAAATAAAACACTATATTTAATAATAAATACAAATCAATACAAAGTGACTGTAAAACAATATTCTAAATGCATGAATTTCTATTTGCTCTTTGTGTTTCTCTCAATTGTACAGCACTTGTTGTCAGTTGGCAATAATTATCTTGCCCTTCACAGCAAGTCAGAGGTACTGCAGCCTGCTGTCCACCTCTTCCCAAAGACCTTTGCAAAATTTCTACACTTGCTGCCATATTAGAGAACAGAAAATGTCTGATCACCTGTGACATATCCAGTAGAAAATCACGATAATATCACAAAAAAAAAAAAAAGAAATCACACAAAAGCTCTCACCTGAATAGACTGAGCGGATGATATTATCGCTACTTTGGACAAAGGACACCAATGCCATCATGACTCCCATTGTGGATGACAGAGCCTCTTCACTGCCATATCGAGAATAGATGGGTTTGCCTGCTTCACTTAGCACAAAAACATGTTTCCTGTGCTGCCGCCAGCTGTCAGCTGTCACATCCTCATCACGATGAGACATAAATGCAGGAGACTCCTGGGTGCCTGCCTCCAGCAAGGGGGATGACCTTCCCTTCACACCTATACCTTGCTCCTCCAGCTTGGCCTTGGCCAACATTGTTACAACAAATTCTCCAGAATCGCTCTGGTCATTGTCTATGGCAGCATCCTCGGTTCCTCTTTCAGTTGTCTCGGTGGATTCATTGTTCTGACACTCAGAGTTTTCTGCCGCCTCAGTCTCTAGCTTTTTTACCTGGTTAGAAACGTGCTCTGCGTCCAGACTCTGCTCCTGTGCTGTAACATCCGACAGGTGCAAATCTGCAGGCTCCTCTTTCACAACAGTAGTACCGTCATTTCTCTCCACAGGGTCAGGAAACATGTGATTGCCCAAGAGGGAGAGAGAAGTTGCCAAGGTGTCAGCTAAGATGAAAACAAAATTAAATTATGAAATGAGTGATGAAAATGAAGTCATGGGTGTTAAAAATTAAAATAGCTTTAATGAAAGATCATATTATTTATTCACCAGGTGGATTGCTCTCTGAGGGTGAATCACAAATCTTCACTCCCTGTGCCTCTCCTTCTTGATGATTGTCTCTCTCCATGATACCATCCCAGTCACTGGAGATTAAATTAAAACATACTATAACCAAACAATTTCAAACAAACAGCTTTATATTTAATATAATTCAATGGTTGTAGCTGAACCTTGGGAGAGCACGCATCTCAAATCTCATGAATAGGAGCACTCATAATGGACCAGTGACAGGGTCACATGATGACAACTCCAAGATGCCGAACAGACTGTGGAATTTCAGACTGATTATAACTTCCAGCAGGCTGGCTAATGCTACACTACAGATAAACGACAGTTGGTTGGACGGAGAGACGAAAGTAACTGTTCCAACGCTAGGGAGCAAACGTGTGTCTAATAATAGCTTAAGATACTTATGAAGCTAATGGTAGCTTCTCTGCTAATTTGCACGCCGTCGAGAAATCTTACTTTTGCATTAGCATAGATGTTTGACTGTGAATTCCGATGCAGCTCAGTAAATGTTGGCTATAGTTACACGGCTAACACTGCCTGCTAGCAAGCGACACACACAGATCAATTTCATGGCCTTGGCTTAACAGTGAGCAATACAAGCAATCGTGGTCAACTAAAATTTGACAGATAAAGACACTTTATCATTGAAACTTACGATTTTGGTGCCGTCAAAACGTTGGGTTAAATATGTAATTTGCTACATTAACTTTCATCGGGAGCCCGGTTGCAAACAGGCTGTCAAGAATGAGGAGCAGAAAACAAATTTTCCTCTTACCACAGCAGACATCCGGAATCTCTCATGACAAGCTGAGTTGACCAATCAGGTTGCTCGCTGGCTTAGGCTAGTCCCGCCCCCTCAGGGTGACGTTCGAGACAGAAAGTGTGATGCACTGCATGAGACTGTAACGTAATTTTTTAGCTGGATGAGCTAAATATACAACATAAACGACACAACATTGTTAAGTTTTTATTTAAAGCTATCCCAATTAAACATGTATGAATTGTATGACTTTCTGTAACAAAACAATAAAACAGGGTTGGCCACTTGCCTTTTCGTGTAGCTAACGTAGATACGAGCTAATTAGACCCATCGTGGCCTTAGCGTTCGTACTGAATTCAGAGCGCTCACATAACGTTCCCTATGGAAATATTAGGGAGAACAGCGGACGCGTTGTTTTTATCGGTTATCCAGCAGCAGGTTGCGTCTTCATTAATTTTCTTGTCATCTGGCAGGGGTCTGCTTTATATCCGGGGGGATAAAATGTTTGCCAGAGGCGAAACCAACGTTTGAATCGTATAAATGCACTCCGCCAGCAGCGACTGCCTCGTCATGCTATAGCTACCGCAGCTGAGCGGGAGAGAGGAGCAGTAAACTGTGTCGAAGTGCGGGATTTAAACGTTGGCTTCGCCCCGGACACGCATTTTATCGTTCGTGCCATACAGCAGATATGTGTGTGGTCACAAAAATACACATAAAGGTGGAATCTGCTTCTAGAAAACGCGTTTCTAGAAAATAGTTACGTTTTATTTTTTTTTCCCTTACGGTTTGCGTAGGCATTGCTGTTGCGTAGGCATTGCTGCTGTGGGATAAAGCAGTGACAGCTAAGTTGCCATTGTATGTTGGTAATAGTTCATTACTTTTCGTTTGTAAAATGTAGTAATGGTGTGTATAACACCAAACACTGAAATAGTCTGGTCCGACAATAATTAAACACCTAGTTTAGTTAAAAGAAAAAAATTACAGTATTTCTGAAGGATGTTTACGTGTGAGGTAGCGGGGCTACGTAAACTACGTCATGTCCGATTCTTCAACCCAATCCACTCATAAGCATCGTAACGGTAGAGATGGCGACCAGGATATCTTATGCTACATAGCCAAAGTGATGTTTTTTAAACGGCCCAACGGACACAAAGTTCACCCAGTTGTTTCCACATTAGCTGGATAATCGGACACTATGGAGGAACCGTGGGACTTTGAGTTTTTGTCACGCATCGCTGACAGCTGCTTATCGTTTCTCTCCGAGTTTGTGGACGACTGGCTCGCCAACGATATGAGAGTCTCCATATTCAAGATCTTACTAAGCTGGTTAATTTTTAGTCTTGTCGCAATTCACTTTGCATGGAAAGTCTACGGGAATACAGTGAACGATATGTATTACCGACAGGGTGAGTTTTCTTTGTCTTTATCCATATCGCTTGCTTAACTCGTGCTAGCCACATTAGCTTTATCTCTGTCTGTGTTGATGTTCAGGGACTGGGCAGAACGGAGGCACACCTGACACAGCACCTCACCTGAGTGGATGGTATGTGTTAAAGCATCATACCGCTTCAAGCAAGTGGCTTACCTTCCTGACTCTGTCTGATACATTAACTGTTTCAGTATAGTTACGAAGTTGAATGGAGACACTGTAATTATGTTCTCTCAACTGAAGCTGCAACTTTTATTACCATCATATCACTGATGATGGTTGGGTGAAAATGTGTATTAGTGTTACAGATGTTTTATTGTACTGAAATCGCATTAGTCTCATTGTTTTCTTTTTTGGTTGTTTTGTTGGCAATAACATTCTGTTATTCTTGCAGGGAAAGTAAAGCAGGCGATACTCTGAAGACTCATCGAGACTAACAGAACAATGGGCTTGGACTGTGGACTTTATCCAAGTGAGACCTGGACAGTTAACATCTCCCAGAGACACTGACTGCACCCAAGTTGTGAAAATAATACTTTTCAGTGTATTCAAGATGGATGCACCTTATGGCGACTGCCTAGAGAAATTTTACGTCTCACTTATATCCATTAAATTGCATATAGTGCTGTAACATATTTATTTCGGTCTATCAACTTTGCTCATTGAAAATGACTTTATTCTGCATAAAACCTTGACCTGTTTGGCTTCATCGTCAACTTTTTTCATTTCTTTCAAGAGGCTTTAGTACCAATGTGAAAAATATTGATGAGTTTGCATGTGAGTTGAGAATGCTTCAAGAACACTGTTTTGATAGCAGATATGAAATTTTACATCCCAAGACCACAAGCAAGAGAAAGTAATTGTACTTGATTTGAATGATGTATGGAAGGAAAAAAGTACATGATTTTTTAAAGTCAGGACATGCAGGATGATATGGACAGGTTTTTGAATGTTAAGGCTGAATTGCAATTGCATCAGCAAGAGCTAGTGTATGATGATGGCGAGTGCTGTGCACATCTAGTTATAATTTTAAAGATTCCTTACGGTGGACAGGATCATTTTCATCACTGCTATTTGATAAATAATCCATATGGTCTATTTTAAGACAAATCCATGAAAATCAGTTCATGTTGTACATCTTCCATGATTTTTCTGGTAAAATTGAAACACCATTGTTTGTCTTAACATGTAAGAGGTGTTGCATGCACTTAATGGGAGACAGAATACATGTGTTAAGTATTCAGCCCCTTTGACTTTTTCATGTTTCATACATTAATTCACAGCAAACACCTGTGTCAAAGTGAAAACAAATCTCTACAGATTGATTAAAATTAAGTACAAAGCAAGAGCACATTCATCCAATTTATGACATCCAAAGTGCACAGTTTGAATATAAATCACGTGTAATAAGTGTCAGATGATTTTATGATTTTTTTTTTAAGTGAAAACAAATCTCTACAGATTGATTAAAATTAAGTACAAAGCAAGAGCACATTCATCCAATTTATGACATCCAAAGTGCACAGTTTGAATATAAATCACGTGTAATAAGTGTCAGATGATTTTATGATTTTTTTTTTTCCTGGATGCGTCACAAGCTGTAGCTTTATTGCCACTCAAAAAAACCCTTCTCAAGCTCTATACTGTATTGAAATTCACCAGAAACCCAACACCCTTACCGTGAAGCATGGTGACATGTTGTGGGGGTGCTTCTCTGCAACAGGCCCTGGTGGCTTGTGAATGTAGAGAGCAAATGAATGCAGAAATATACTGAAAACTCACAGAGAAAAACCCGCCTCAGTGTGCAAGACAACTGTGACTTGGGAGAAGATTTATTTTTCAGTCGGACACAGGATTGGCTGTTAATCGATGTCCACACCTCAATCCAGGATTAGCAGCAGGAATTGAAAATTGCTGTTCATCCAATCCCCATGTTGCTGGAAAGTGCTTGAGCAGCTATGCAAAGAAGACTGGGGGAAAAACTGCAATGTCCAGGTAGCAAAGCTGACACAGACATGTCCATTCTGGGTAGACTCAAGGCTATAAATGTTGGCAAAGGTGCCTCTTTGCTTGAGAAGGGTGAACACAACTATTATATTTTTATATTTGTATACAGTACGTACAAGTTTGTTTCACTTTGACATTAGTTTTTTATGTTAATCTGTGTGAAAATAATAGTTACATCCACTGTGATTTGATGTACAGTAATAAAACATGAAAATGTCAGAGGTGTTGAATAACCGACATGTTATATTGTTATAGCAGTAGCTGCAAGTCTGTAGTACAAGACAATATACTGCATTGTGTATTTATAGAACTCTTTAATGATGTACATAGTATTTGTCAAATAAACTATTACAACAAAATAATCAGCATATATTGGTACCTTGACGTACCTGAAGAGACCAGCAGCAAAGCAGGAAGATAATGAACTTTGCAAGTTGTGCAAACAGCTTGACTGATGTTACATTTGTGTAATGTACTTGAAAATACTGATGTTGTTGATGCCTGTCATTTCTATGCTGTGTTGTAAAACATAATTTGCTGTGATTAAAAAAAAGATTTGCATTAAGTCCAGTTTTTAGTTTTTTCCCTGCTGAAAAACCTCTAATGCTGATAACAAAAATTACATCCCAATTTTATTCTTTGTGGTTGTTAGATTTTCATATAGGAATACCAGTCCTTCTCTCATGTAGGTCTATGCAGAGTTTTCCCAACATGGGCAAAAAATGTTGAGTTGAAAAACCTCATACCATGCCAAGTCAGAGAACCAGATAGAGTACTTTTTAAATGCAGGATCCAATTTTGAATTATCTTATGTTAATGGGAATTGGTGGAATAAGTAGCATGTGCACATCCATCACATTGGTGCAGGTTAAGCCAGGTACAAGTAAATGTTGCCCAGCAGAAAGATGTGAAAAAAATGAGTAAGAATCATTGTTAGTAAGGAAGTTGTTGATGTCCAGCCCCTGTGCTTGTGCTTCTTCATACAAACCTCCATCGGTAATGGCCCCTGCTGCCTCAGTGGGTCCGTCCTGACCATCAGTTCCACCACTCAGGAAGACAGGACCATTAGGTGGGAGCTGCAGGCCTCTCAGCTCCAGTCCAACTCGCAAAGCCAGCTCCTGGTTCCGACCACCTTGACCCTTTCCTGTCAATTGCACAGTGGGCTCACCTCCAGCTAACAGACACGTGGCACCCCATCCTTCCGTACGCCCTTCATCTAAGACCTGCATGGTGCGGCACAGGTCCCAGCTCTCCACACCTACTTCAGGCCCTAGCCTCAGCACCTCAGCAGCAATCTCAGGAGGAGGTTCCTCTCGAGAACACGCAAAGCGGGCCAGGAGGCCGTAAAGTCTGGAGACTGACCTTACATCGCCACACACTCCTGGTGACAGAACAACAGGGCGGAAACCTAGCTCTCGGGCCCGGCGACCTGCGCACTTGAGGGCAACGCTGTTGGAGCCAATAACAGCATTAAGAACATTTTCTGCCTTTTCTATTTCATCCTTATTCTCTTTCCACCGGGGACTTGGTCTCCCAAGGACATCTTTCACTGAAGCTGGTAGAGAGTTCAACAGCTTGTACTGTTCAAGGATTGACAAAACTTCCTCAGGCCACACCTCACTTCGGACTGTGGGGCCACTGGCTATCAAGTCCAGAGGATCTCCAATCACATCAGACAGTATCAGTGCAACCACCTGTGAAGGGTTCAGAGGGGTGACATTCAAAGCAGAGTGCTGAAATGACTTCTTAACAATAAACAAGTGTTTAAAAAATAAAAGTACATTACCTGTGCAGGGTGAGCATAATGTGCAAGCCCTCCACCCTTTAAGAAAGAAAGGGCACGACGTACAGTGTTCAGCTCTTGAATAGTGGCACCAGCAGCTGCAAGTTTGCGGGTAACATCCAGTTTCTCTTGCAACGAAATTGGTGGGATGGGTGCAGGTAAAAGCGCAGAGCCTCCACCTAGAAAGAGTTGAACCACCTTTAGTTGAATTTACATTTTAAGGTATAATTTTGTTAAGAATCAGAATTAAGAGAAGTGATGTGTTTACCTGAAATCAGTACAAGTAGCAAGTCTTTCTCTGTCAGTTCACTGGCTAACTGTCTGATTCCTTCAGCTGCCTTCTGGGCATCAGAGTCAGGCAAGTTGTGTTTGGCTCCCTCCATTACTTTGATGTGACTGTTTTCTTTTAACAACAGATGACTGTGATAGAAGTGAGAAATTTTATTACACTTTATCTTGTTTTCTGTGTAATATTTCAAGTTGTTTAATTCTTAAGGTTTTTGCTTACTCTTTCCCATGCTGCTTTAATGTCTGCTGAATCCCATGTGGCACACTTATGACTCCATTCACTAAGTGATCCCCCACTATCCTCTCTGCCTCAGCAGCCATACCCAGTACAGCTTTTCCAAAGCCAACCAAGTGCAGGTTGTGTTTCAGCGTAAATTTTTGACCATTGATAATGACTGAGTCCTCCTTGCGCTCTATACTCTGCCGCACCACAGTGTCTGGCTGCACAGCCTCCACTGCAGCTACAAACACCTCGCGTGCCCGTGAGTCCATTGACATTTTGCACAATGTAGGTTTCCTCCTGCCCACAAGGGCCAGAAAAGGCTGAGGTCGGAACAAGGAAAGAACACGTGCCATGGACACTTCACTTGGTCTGAGCAGAAACTGCCTAAGGAATGAAAAAAATCAGGTGTCAGTGTATAAGGACAGTTAGCACTAAAACAGGTTATTTTAAGAAAGACCACACATATAGAATACGACTTGAAAGGATCAGAGGAAAGGTCAAATATTCTACAGTTACTCACAAATCATTTTTGTTGGTTGAAGGCCACTTTTACCTCTCAAGTAAATGCTTTTCCAAAGAATGCAAACATTTCTGCAGTACTAACTGACAGCATGGACTAAAAATTGTTCAGTCATTAAAATGATTGATAGCTCAGTTAAAACCTTACTCATTAAATCTGAAGACTTCAGGATTACACTAGTGTATGGGGCTGTCGTATACCTCTTCTACCCACATAAATTGATATTTTCTTCATGCATTAACTGTTTACTTCTAAAGGCTGAAAAGGAAGTGTACAAACCTTTGCCTAGTGGTTTGTTTTGTGTTTATATCAACCAAAATCTTGCATAGATAATTGCCACAAATCAGTAAACACGTTTCCCATAAAACTGTGTTTTCTGACGACTCATGCATCTGCCTACCTGTGAAAGTTGTAAATGGGATATAAAGCCTGAGGATTCCAGTGGAAGCCTGTTATGTGTGCTCCAGCTCAGCAGTAAGTGTAGCAAAAATTTGACCAGACACTGACAGGAGTTGTGTACCCTATGTGTAATGATTGACTTGAATAGCGCACGGGACACATCGAAGAACTGGCCACCCAGCTGTGCACTGTTTCTTTAGTTGTACATTTTTTTTTGCCACAGACTAGGTAACAACAAAAAGATGGGTCAGTGATACCAGAAGTTAGTTCAGTGCTGGTATAAAATCAAACACAGTGATGAAATTCATGTGCACAGTATCCAACAGACTTTGGACCCATTCATGCTGTGGCATAGTTCAAAGGGTCCACAGCCTAAATTCAGTGTAAAACAACCTTAAACTGGTTTAAACTGAATTCATGAGCATAGTAAATGCAGGTATTTTCTCACTGCTGTGCAGACACCTGCATTCATGCTGTTGAAAACCACATATGGTACTCAGTGAGGCATTAATGATGTTTATGACAGCTGAAAGTCTTACATCTCTGGTTGAATCAGGTCAAAGTGGACAATATTTCAAATCAGTGAAAATTATTGTGATGAAGTACTCTGATCTTTCTGGTATTTCATGAACTAGATAAGTCTAAAATCAGACATCAGGTTACTTTATCTATTATTACTCAATAGATTTTCCAGAAAAAAGCATTATAGGCAATTTATTGTTATGGTGATATAAAATTAAATTTATCCTGAAAGAATTTTTTATCTATATTGCTTGGCCCTACAGCCCAAAATCTAAAATAAACAAAATTGAAAAGTTTGTTTGTTAAACCAACAACATTATAGAGATGAACTGATTAGTCAATCGAAAGAAAATTCATCAGAAACTATTTTGATAACTTTTTTGGAGTGCTGATTGGTCAAAACACCAAGCATTTGGAGAAAGTCAACTTCTTTCATTAACGTTGCGTAATAATGGCTTGTTCAGGAATATGTTTACAGGTCAAAACGTTTTCTAAAGAACTGCTGACATGAGGTTTCTATTTTAAATCGACACGAATCTGAACTTTCAGCCTGAATTTTTATGTTACCATGGTCACTGTCGATCTCTTGAAGTATCCGAGCAAATGTTCACTCTGACACTGACATTCAACAAAAACACTCAGGCTGCTGACAGAACAGTTACACTTGGTTCATACCTCAGACTTCCCTTTCAGTGGAGACACAACTCCTGTTGTTATTTTCTTCTGCGCTTCTCCCGCGGACATTTTCCTGCCTGGAGCACAACCTAGAAGTTGGCAGAAAGTAGAGCAGGCCGAACAACACGAACTGCTAAATGTGTCAGAAAGTGCTGGACCAGAGGGTCACCTGCTAACACAGGGAGCGGATGCGGAACTTACTCTGGTCCTGTCCTCTTCGGTGATATCGACAGAGTCAAAAAAGACAATAAAAAATACAATTTTATCCAAAACCTGCCAAGATAATTCAGTTTTGTGTTGTTAAGTCACTGGCTTTAGCTGATCATTATTTTTTGTTGCTTAGTTACATGTAATTATCGCGATAACTATCTATCATATCGCGTGATTTCTAACCAATGCGCGTGGTTGGTGATGAATATGCGCGTCACCGACGTGTCGAAGGCGGTGCTTTTCCCTCCCGTGGATCAGAAGTATCACAGGCGGGCTTTCGTCGCTGTTTTTGAATTATACTTCTTCTAAAATAACTTACAGAACCGCTGCAGTTTATATATCTATACAAAGCACCACAAGTTACATCTGTAAACCGGTTTAAAGTGTAAAACGAGGGCCTGCTTCCCCTCAGAGACAGACAGGCCATCATGAAGCTCACGGACAATGTGCTGCGGAGCTTCAGGGTTGCTAAGGTGTTCCGAGAAAACTCCGACAAAATTAACTGCTTCGACTTCAGTTCAAACGGAGAAACAATTATTTCCAGCAGCGATGACGATTCTTTGGTCTTGTACGACTGTCAAGAGGGAAAGTAAGTGCAGTTTCTGCAAATTCTACTGTGTTGTTTTTGCCGTTAGCTACTTGCTGTGCTAACTAGCGAGGCCTGCTGCACTGCGATAATACTCAACAGCGATTGTATGAAATGTGAAATTTCCGTGTATGCATGCAGTTTGAAAACTCCTGCAGCATTAATCCTGTCAGTCTATAGTAACTAATCTTATATGCTAGTAAGTAACATGCTGTGTGTTCATCATATTATCAGAAGTAGACCTTGATCTGTTAAAATTTCTGAGGAGGGTTTTACAATTAAATAGTCTAACGTTAACAATTATTAGGTATGTATGAGTTGACAAAAAACAAAAATGATATTAGTAAAACAGCACAGCTATTAGCATTTAAACAAATAACATGTCTATTTCAATCTATCGATAATTTTGAAAAGGCTAAAATAACAAATAGTGCTGAATAGAGCTGTTGCAATTAATCGATTAGTCGATGGACATTTTCATGAGAAATAAATCGTTTTCGTCACTTGTTGGTTAAAGGTTTTTAAATGTGATAGTTTCCTGTTTTTGTTGTGTGTGATTGTAAACTGAAGAATTATGGGTTTTGGTAATGAAAATAGTGTTGTTGCATCTTAGTGCTAAAACAATGAGCTGATAAGCAGAAAATGAATCACCAACAATTATTTAGCAAAATTTTCATAACTGATTTATTTTATTATAGCATAAATGTAAAGCATTTGCTGGCTCCACCTTCCCAAGTGAACATTTGCAGCTTCTCTTTTTTATGTTATTTTAAATTCAACATCTGAGGCTTTTAGAGTGTTGAATGGACAAAACAAGTTATTTAAAGATGACAAACATTGACAGACATTTTTAATTTTTTTGTGACATTTTATTTGATTAAAAAGTTAATCAGTTAGTAAGGAAAAGCAGCCAATAGTGAACATAATTGTAAATGCAACCGTACAGTAATCTATTTGTATTTATATGGCTAGAAAATGTCACAACACAGTCTTTGATACATGGAGATGTAAAATAAAGAAGCAAGTAACTCTCCATTGAGGATGTAACTTGAATCTGTGTGGTATTTTTATGAAATGTTAAGTAATAATTACATAAGGACGATGAGATTATTTTTCAGAACAGATTTACATTATTGCTGATTTAAATGCTTATTTTGCTCTGATTTATGGCAGACCCAAGAGGACCCTCTACAGTAAAAAGTATGGAGTGGATCTGATCAGATACACACATGCTGCAAACACTGTGGTCTACAGTTCCAACAAAATCGATGGTATGTTCATGCACAAAAACCTGTTGGTTTTTTTTTTATTTATTTGCTTTTTTTTGTGGGGTGGGGGGCTAAATGAATGAATGGAGACATTAATGAATTTCAGTTTGTGCCTCACATACATATATATACACACACACACACACACACACACACACACAACCTACCCACCTACCTGTAATGATAATGTTATGTGTGTGATCATGAATAATAGGAAGTCATTAGAGGCATTGATAATGGTAAGATAGGGCCAAACAAGTAGCCTAGAGGTATTCATCCTGCATTTTGCATATATTCAGACAGTTGAATCACTTCATTGAAATGCAGGAGAAGACATTTAAGTTATATTAGACTATATTATACTGGACTGTGGAGACACTAATTTGTAAAGGATGCCATTCCCCTGTGGAAAGCTGCTGGATCATGAGGAGCACGCTACTCACTTTGGTCTGAGGTAGTTGTTTGTACAGTTTGAGGGTCTGTGATTCTGCCCCATACAGGAGCTAACTGTACAAGTGACTGCCTTGCCCACGGTTGAGTCAACTCATCAGACCTGCCCGTAATTGACTGTATGTTCTTAATGCCATCTTGGTTGTGCTTATCCTGTCTTAATGTATGACATGACAGATTTCTTCCTCATGTTAATGGTGTTGCTTCTTTTCCTTTAGATACTATCCGGTACCTGTCCCTTCATGACAACAAATACATCCGCTATTTTCCAGGGCATAACAAAAGGTGAGGACTGGATTTATGCTGGCCCGTCTTTCTTTGTTTTCTACCTTGATTTGATTTACTGTCTAAGTTGGAAGTTGCTGTCTTTTCATTTTTTCCCTTGTTTTTTGTTATCAGAGTGACATCTCTTTCCATGTCTCCTGTGGACGACACATTTATTTCTGGCTCATTAGACAAAACTATCCGACTGTGGGATCTCCGGTCACCTAACTGCCAGGTAAGTATCTTTTCTTGTAATTTGGTGAACACCCACTGGGGTTGCTCTAATATCTAATATTAAATTGTAAAAGAGGGATATAGCTGATACTGACTTTTGATCTGTTGCTTTTAGGGTCTGATGCACCTGCAGGGGAAGCCAGTGTGCTCGTTTGATCCAGAGGGTCTCATTTTTGCCGCTGGAATAAATTCAGAGATGGTTAAACTTTATGACCTGCGATCATTTGACAAGGCAAGAAGTGTTTGTGTGTATGCGTGTGAGAGACCATTCATGATATATGTCTATCTAAAATTTTAAATGTATAACTGCAATTTAATAGAAGCAAAAGAGTCATCATCATTCTTGTCAACAGGGTCCCTTTGCAACCTTCAAGCTCCAGTATGATCGGACATGCGAGTGGACAGGGCTGAAGTTTAGCAACGATGGAAAACTAATTCTTCTATCTACTAATGGCGGGGCTCTTCGCATCTTAGATGCTTTTAAGGGTGCTGTGCTACATTCCTTTGGGGTAAGAGACAACTCATCTTCATGCACTATGTATGGTAGTATCAATTACTTGAAACTAAAACACAAAGACAGATACATGTCTAAATCACACAGTTAGAAGAGTGTGACCCACACCCGGTCAAATAACACCTGTTCGGTGACTAAATTCAGCAGATTTAAAAAGTGAAGCAATTATGGGGGTTTCATTCATATTTTTAAAGAGTGATGAGGATCTGAAAAATTTCCCACTGTTTGTGAGGTGAAAGGATAGGGCTACCTCGTCTAAACAGGATGGTTTATCGGTCAGGACACAAGAATGAAGATGAGACGTAATTCTTTCTCAAACAGCGTTATGTTCCAGCAGTGTTTATTGTTCCATTGTCCATTAGGCACTGGCATCTTTACAGAAACAACATAACCACTGAAATATTAATAAAGAAATTCTGATATAAAAATATATGAATAGGCATTGTAAGGCCCACCTTTAACAAAAACAGCAACAGAAATAGTAACCTAGAGTTACAATTTATGAATGAAAATATTACTATTCACAGAAACAAACTCCACATTTTATAATTGACCAGTTTACGTATAGTTCAATGTCAACACCCGCTGGTCAAACAGGGTAGTACATAATGGCATCCTCACATCACAAATCTCCCCCACCAAGATTATTAACCATTCACAGCAATATTGACTATACTAATTCAACTTAAAAATGTGAAAAATGACAACAGCTAACTTATACTTCCTCCAGTCAATTACATTATTGTGACAATGTCAGAAATATCTTTCATCACACTGTGATGAGAGACAATGAAACTTAATGGGGTGAAACTTAACAAGGCAAACTTAACAAGATATAACTTTAAGTAACAGCAAACAGACTCTTACTTTCAGTCATTAACTCAATATTAGGAGTACTGGAGCACACAGAAGAAGAACATCAATATTTACAGGTAAATCTGGTTTGAACTGTAATGCGGGCACACTAATTGGAAGCCTCTCCCACTTTTTTCACACACTACTGCAAACTGTTTGGAAGGTGCATACTCATTTCTTGCAGCCAGATAACATGACTACTAAAATGATACACAGCCTTTTACACACCCACCAAATGCTGTCTTTAATATGTTTTCTGTGTATATACTAGTGTTCACTGTTGAATCACTATTCTGCACAGAATAATTCATGTTCACGGATGGTGCTGTTCATTTACCCACAGGGCTACAACAACAGTAAAGGTGTAACACTGGAGGCATCATTCACTCCTGACTCTCAGTTCGTTATGATCGGTAAGTTAAGCCTACCATTTCTCTTTTGTTGTTGTTTCACTGTTGTAAATAGTTTCATGCATTATGTCATCCCAAAAAAGCTTAAAGGTATTTGATTTTGAATTGTTCTAAAGTCACTCTGAAGTACAAAAATTGATTCCTAAATCAAAAAGATGCTGCAGAGCAAATATTTTGCATATTTAGACAAAAGAATGTTATGCTTAGTGGTATAGCAAGTCAATCTATGAAATGTCTCACCAATAGCATTCCTCTGACAAATAAAGGCATTGGTCAAAATAATGCTGGACTTAGCCATCATGTAACAATGCTGGTCCTGGTTTCATCCATTATTTTCATTGTCCATTTATTTCAGGCTCGGAGGACGGAAAGATCCACGTGTGGAATGCAGAGAGCGGTATGAAGGTGGCTTTATTAGATGGGAAGCACACAGGACCAATTACCTGCCTGCAGTTCAACCCCAAGTTCATGACATTTGCAAGTGCCTGCTCCAACATGGTGAGTCGGGGCAGCAGTGCGGATGAAGGGAGTTGTTTTCTTAATTGCTTTCTAAACTGTGTTAGGCAGATAAACATGTTGATGTTGCTTAACTGTGCAGTTCATCGACTTCAAGTTTCTTGTTTTCATTCGCATTATTACAGTTTTATTATTGTGTTACTCTCCCGTCCTGCCTCAAACTGTACACACTTGATAGAACTGTAGGCTGTGCCTGAGTGACTTTAAAGGTTATAACATGAAATAAGGAGTCTTTCGTGTGGGTAACTTAAATTTGAAATGCTCTTTCATCTTTCAGGCATTCTGGCTGCCAACCATTGATGACTGATGAGAGAAAAATGAAGACACGGCTTCTGTTCAAGGCCAAATTCAAAGTGACCAGCAGGGGTCAGAACAACCAGCTCTATGTGAACACAGGGACTTGTGGCAAATTTAAAAAGTCAAATTGTAAATAAGTAGTTTTCAGAAATAGATTTCTTCTCTATTGTCTTTTTTATATTTCTATTTAACATTAAATTGTTTCTTTTGTTAAAAAAAAAAAAAAATTTGACTACATTGTGTTCAGTGTGTGTCCATGCTTATTGTTGTTGTCTTTGCCACACAATGAAGTGGTCAGCTGAGAGAGTCAGTTCAAATTGGCTCACACCCCACAATGATGTGAGTGAATTTTATTTATATAGTGTATTTGTTGTATTCCAAAATTTTTTATGCTTTGAAAGGAAAATATTTTATGAAGCACAAGCTATTATAATATGTTGATGCTTAGCTAGTTCACTTGTGAGCAGGTTTTTTTTGTTTTGTTTTTGTGATGAATTTATTTTAGTTCCCAGTGTAATATTTGTCAGGTTTTATTCTGACTACACATAGTGTGGGGAAAACTGAGGTATGAGATTCACAGTTAACTAAATGGATACACTTTCCATAGCAACATGCTCTTTTCGATCTAATTTGGCTCCATTCTAAATACAATGAAACTGCTGCTTTTTGCTGCCATTTCAGCCTAAATCACTTTGTAATTCATCTACACAACAATACATGGTAAAATCCAAATCAGAAGAAGAGTAAAATCCACTGAATTTTGTTATTGATGATGAAACAATTCAGTGATTTGCATTCAGATCTAACAAGTGCTGATCTACCAGTGTGGCTTGTTCTGGAGCAATACATCAGACTAAAGTTGTTCTTGGCTCAGAAGTTGTTAACTAGGTTTGCTGGGTCACACTCCTCAACTGTTGGTCCTGGTGTGTGGTGGGGGTTTCACAGATCAGTACCTAGGTCTGGACAGTCAGTCAGTGGGAGCTAAATTTAGGAGAGAGGTGATCAGGTTCCCTCTCTGTGTGCACATGATACTGTCCTAGTTACTTGAGCGATGTCCCTTCTCACACTGTCACACTCTCTCATCGAGACGAGACACACTCAGCGACCCTCTACTTCAGCAGTCAGAACAGTACTTTGTCACATCATCTGAGGTGAAGGACATTTTTACAACAGGCTCTTTTGGTTGGACTTCAGTGCCTCTTGGCTGGACTGAATATTTGGGCCTGGTGCTGTGGATCTCCAGTCTTGTCTGCTGCTTCTTCTCTGTCTCTCAACACCCCTGCTGCAGCGCCTGGCAGGAGGAAGAGACTGCTGACCCGCCATGTTTCTCGCACTAGTGGTGACGCCAGAGCTGAGGGAGTTCCTGGCCAGAGCAAGAGGTGGAGCAGTGCGCCTCATCAAGGTGCGCATCCAAGACGGTGAGTGACCCGGCAGTGTGAGTGGGATTGGATGTAGAATATAAATCATCCATGATGTAGTTTTGTGTGTGACAGTGGGTTTTAAAGTACTTAATATCTGTTAGTTTAATTTATAGCACAGTAGATGAATTGCTTTAAAACTGAGCTCCAAAGTTTATTACATTACAAAATAACTCAACAAATCACTCTCATGTTATTCAAACAAGGATCCAACCTCTATAAAAGTGGCTCAGAATGTTTTTGGCTTGTGGCCCCTTACAATAACGCCATGAAATGTCAGAAAACCATCCAAAACCCACTTTACAATGATAATAAAAGAAGCTGAAACGTGGGATTATTTGGTATTTTTGCTAGGAAAAGGACAGAAACGACGGATCCATGATCAGGAAAGTTGCTGATTATCTGGCTTTCTTTCTTTAGTCATAGTTCTAAATGTCTACATGTGTCCTACATGAGCTGTAAAGAGTTCAACCAACGGAATGAAAAAAAAAAACAGGTTGTAAACCACTGCTCTGTAATATAATCTGTATAATCTACATGATCTAATACATGACTGTAAAAGTTGTGATGTGGCCCATTAAGTTGCCAAAACAGTCGTCCAAACTGGGAACTCTTTGTTCTGAAACTATAGGCCAGTGCAGTCATGAGTTTATTATTGGGCCAGGAAATATTAAAGAGCAAAATTCAGCTACACAGCGTTTTTCTTTATTGTTCAGATTTTTCTCTAGTCTTTACTGTTTTATGTAAAATAATTCACTTTTACCTCTTCAGCCCTCCAAAACTTCACTCTTCTAACCAGCAAAAGATGACACATTGTTATGTAGGCCATACACACACACACAAAATAAGAAAAAACCTGATTTTGTTTGGAAGAAAATTAGATATTACAATGTGAAATAAGTATAGACAGCATATATGTGGTTGTAACAAGCCATTGTGCAAGGGCATGTTATTTCCAGCCTTGTCTGGATTAAGAAACAACTTGAGAAACAGGTCAGATATGTTATGTGTCATGCTGTAAACAGATACACATTTTCATCCACATTGTTGGAAGAGCCTTTAAACGTTTTGGGAAACTTTTAGAAATGTTGTTTAAGGACTTTCTGGGTTTTTCAAAGATTTGTGGGTCTTCATTTAACCAGAAAAACAGATGCTTAGCTCTGTGACTCCAATGCATAATACATGAGAGGCCCAAACTGGGCCTGTCTTCAGCTGAACCACTCACCTCAAGAGATACACAGCTTGTATCGACAGGTTACAAGTAGATTTAGCTGAGTGTTTAATGGACACAAGCCAGAAAACAGGTTGTTAAACCACTGCCACAGACTATTTGACTAACTTCTAGGAAGAGACGATTGCAGCAGCTGTTGTTCAGCTGTGTGAAAACAGGCGTTCAGTGTGTCAGCTGAGTAGCATATGTAAAAAATGGTCAGTGAGGCAATAGGTTTCTAGGTGGCTGATTATGAATGTGGACTGATGTGTTTACATCTTGTTTTGGCATCTGATCACGCCACGGTGTAATGTGATTCATGACAGATGCATTCTGGGACTTTTTGCAGCTATATTTGTGGACTGTGCCTATTATTTTAAATATTTGGTCTGATATTTGGAGTCTTGATGTCTGCAGAGACCGGCATGGTGACAGAGAGAGAGACACTGTTTCACAGCAAAAGGTTGTCGGCTCTGTTTTGCTTCCTTACTGAAGCACTTTGATCTCTCTGAGGCGTCACTTGGCTATTTGGAGCAACATGTGACTTGACATGGTTGCGCGCTGCTGCCCGGTGACACTCATGTTTGCTCCAATGTCAAGAGAGAAACAAGATCATTCCAGTCAATTTCATCACCACTGGCTCAGTATGCCACTTGGTTTCCTATCAACTGTCTCCTGATGGTTGATGTCTAAAGATTTCACAGCTCTGTTTTTAACTTTTAAGGAAAACAAAGACAGCAGATAACACCTAAAGTGAGTCATTTACATAATTTGATAGTGACATAGACCTATAAAGATAGGGACTAAGAGAGAATGGCTGATGGAAAGTATGTGTGGCCAAAGCAGGAATGTGTTGCAGCTCAGAATAGCAACATGCCCCAAGAGACAGTCAGGAAATCCCCCTGCACCCCACAAGGACATCAGACTTTGGGTTCATGCATATGTTTTCTGCATTTAATTAAGTTATTAAGGTTTTCATTATGTCATCAGCTCTTTTGAGAGAGTTAACCAAGTGCTGTCAAGTCAGTCAGAAATGAATCTCGAAATACTTTTTACTTGGTGGTGGGCACATTGAGAAACAGCGAGACCCTCAGTGTAGACTTCAGCTAAGTGACTTTACACAGGAAGAAGTCGGCAATGAGACCGTGATGGTGGTTGAATATAAAGTTGAAATAATTAACCGATTAGGCGACTTACAGGAAATGAATCTACAACTATTCTGATAATTAAGCAAAAATGACAAACTTCCTCTGTTTTATAACATTATAAACAGACAGTCTTTAGGTTCTGTGGTCTTGGATGAACAAAACAAGACATTTGAAGAAGTCACCTCAGGCTTTAGGAGACTGTGAGTAGCTCTAGCATTTTATAGACCAATTTTATTGTTGAAAAATTGACTTCATTGCTCTTTGATGAAATTTATGTCATGGAGACACTGTTCCTAGTTTGGCATTTCTATACAGTAATAATTAAGTAATACTTATCAGTCAACATGTACACAATATAGATGTATCTACAATTAGACAGGACTGACTGATATATCAGCCTGGCCTCTGTATATGCTGTACTTACAAATAGAAATATATGAAAAATTTAAAGACTTTGATCTTAAAATGACTCTAAATTGTCTGCAGGTGAGAATGTGAGTGTGAGTGGTTGTTTGTCTCTATGCGTCAGCCATGTGATAAAGTGGCGACATGTCCAGGGTGTTACCCCGCCTCTCGCCCAGTGTCAGCTGGGATTGGCCCAAAAGGATTCTCAAAAGGATAAGCAGTGAATGGATGGATGATAGATCTTAAAATGTTACTGCTCACATATAAGGTAAAAATAATAATACTTTAAAGTGTCCAGGTCTTTTTTAAAATGAGTGTAATTTGATAGGAATATTTAAGAAGCAAAAGGTCAGAACTCATGTAAAAGAAAAATCATTGTATTTTGGTTAAAGGAGCGAATTTATGAAAGTTGTAGTTTTAGTAAATAACTAGAAATGTGAAGAACACTTAGATTTGAAATGTTGAAACATATATACAAAAATGTTAAATATGAAAGCTTAAGGATGTCAGATGAGGTTATGTAATTTACAAAATAGGGTTGGGACAATGAGCCAAAGCTTCAACCTACACTTTCTGTCTGTAGAAACTTACATACATCTGCTTCTTATAATTACATTGCAATAATAACAATCCTCCTACATATTAATCAATACTGCATGTGATTGTAGTCTGTAGTGTCAACTGAGTCTCACTGTATGTGCTCCATATATGAAGGAGGCTAAGGTATGTGACAAGTAGTGGTCTGATTTTCAGAGCAGCTGGTGCTAGGGGCCTACAGAGAGCCGGAGAAGAGCTGGGACCAGGATTATGATCACTTCCTGCTTCCTCTCCTGGACGAGCAGGAGCCCTGCTACGTCCTGTACCGCCTTGACTCCCAGAATGCACAGGGCTATGAATGGATCTTCATATCATGGTCTCCTGACCAGTCTCCAGTAAGACATACCATGTATCCTTCATATACATACACATATTGCTGTTGATCGGTGAAT